AAAGACATTACGGATTTTTGTAAGGTTGCAGTATGTGGAGCAGGTCTGAAATAGGTAAAGATTCATGCAAGAAGTCTCATAAAGACCTTACTTGAGTAACCTAGGTCTGGCAGCAGTAGAAATAGAGAAAACTAGACAGAGTCCCTGCATATTTATGCAGATAAAATTGACAGAAACCAGTGTGATGAGGAAGTGAATGTTTTTAAGGAGAACAAGAAATGCGTCACAGTGGCTGAAAGTGTGGACTCCAAAGCAAGACTACATGGTTTCCGGGTCCAAGCCTGCCATTTTAGGCACTGCGACCCTGGGCAATTAATTCAACTTCTCTGTGCCTCTTGTCATTTGTAACGAGGTGTACTGATATTACCCACTTCAGTGTGTTGTAAGAATTGAAATGTTTATCTGATTTTAATATAGACCAGTGTTTATAGCATGCTAAGAACAGTGTAAATGCTTGTTACTATGGTGGTGGTGATACCATTGGCTAAATTCGAAGAACTGGGTTTGAGGAAGCAATTCATGAGTATGGTTTTGAACACTTTTGAATTGGAGTTTCAATAAAGACATTCAAATTATGTTGAACAGTCAACTGGATATACGGGTCTAGAAGGAGTCTGGGCTAAAGACAGATTTGATGGTCTAGTATATCACTAAATCAATGAAAATATGATTTTTAAAGTAAAAATACTAAAGTGAGAAGAGACAAATTACTATAACAGGTTTCTGAAAACAGTTTTAAGGAAGGATAAAGAAAAAGGAATTGTCAAAGGAGACAAAGTAATAATCAGAGATACAGAACAAAAACCAGTTGAGTGAGATTTCACAGAAACCCAAAGATTTCAGTAGGAAGAAGCTATTGAGAGATATGCAAAGATGATCCTGAAAAGTATCTACAGAGTTTAGCAATGTTGAGCTTACTGATGATCATAGGAAGCATATTTTGGGTGGAATAGAGAGACAGATTGAAAAGGTTAAAGAAATGAAGTCAATGAATGTGGACCTTAGTGATTTGGCTGTGAAAATGGAGATGAGGTAGGGCAGTATTTAATTGAGAATAAGTTAAGAAGGACTTCTTTTATGCTCTTTTGTAAAGATGTCTTGAAAATTATTAAATGTTGATAAAAATTCCAATAGTATATAGAGGAAGGTTTCTAAGATGACCCAAGAGATGGTTTGGAGGAGAGACATTGACACCAGTATGTTTGTAGAGAAGGAAGAGAGGTGAGGCAGAAGCAGGTAGTTCTCTACATTTCTAGGCAATACCATTGTCTGCTGGTTTCTGTTTACTCCGTGAAAGTAGGTGGCAAAGCTACTTGGGAAGATTAAGAAAGAGCATTAAGAGAATTGATAAGAGAACAGAGGAGTTTTTAAATTTCCCGGTGGAGACAAGTAACTTAGAGAAACACAGTAGATGAGGGTCAGTGTGATATAGCAGTAGACATGTATGATCATGAATATATGAAATGCAGTCTGCTATACTGTATGAACAATGTTCACCAACAATGGTTAGCTCTTCAGTGGCAGACAAGATGTAGAGAGAACAAAAGTTGGAGTTTTAATAAATAACTTCTGTTCAAAGGAAGTTAAAGCAAAGTTTAGAATTTTTAAAAGAAGGTTACTTAACTGGCTTACCATGGAATCTAAGCTGAATATGGAGGGAAGTTTAAAAAGGAGCGAACCAATCCATTGGGTGGGAATAACTAGAAGCTTCTGTGACTAAATTTGCCAGTGGTATTGGAGAACTGTAAGCATGGTAATAATTCAACATGAAGAAAAAAGAAGAAACTGTGGTAAATCAGCTGATTTCTTAGTGAATGGAGTAGTTAAATGAGTCATTACAATATCAAGCATGCACATTATGTTCCCACAGTCCAAATACATAAGACTTGAGAACAAGAAAACAAAAAGAAAAATAAAAAAAGAGTTTTATACTCTTAACCTGAGAGTTAAAAATGAAGAAGGCTATTGATGGAGAATTTTGGAGTACTTCCCTATCTCTGACCTCCATATCATCAAGAAACAGGAAAGGGAAGAATCTCACACTTAGCCTGGTGATATAGATTCAGAGAAAACACCTCCTTGAGAACTTGATGTCTGCCCCTACACTCAGAAGGGGTCAATGGATTTGTGTTTAATACACTCTTGGAAAATTTGAAAATAAAGGTCATGGTTGACTCTCCTTACCTAGTAGAGTTTTAGCTGTATTTTCACTGATGACAGAACAGATATGTCAGTTTCTCCTGGACCAATTATAAGGAACTTGGAGGAAAAATGGTATTTGGTGTCATTTGAAAAGGCAAAGTCTTCCAAAAGGGTTTGGTTACAGGATAAAAAGAGATCCATTAGCCACAAAGAAAAAGGAACAATTTGATATTCTTTCTTTTTCTTTTTTTTTCCTGGTGTGTGTTGAGGGGTGGCAGTGTTGGGGTTAAAACCCAGGACTTCATGCAGGCAAGGCAAGCACTCTCCCACAAGTCACATCCCCGGCACCAGTTATATCTGGTGATAAGAGCCTCTTAAAAACTTGTAACAGTGCTCATGAGATGGAGTCATTTTGAACATCCCCCAAGCCTGGAGAGCACTAAAGACTAAAGCTATATCTTAACTCATATACCACTCAAATAAGACCTTAAAGTACCGCCCTCTCCTCATCCTGCCTATCACTGCCACTCTAAATGCAGAAGATTTAGAACTGAATCCAGCAAGTGGTGGAAGTCAGAAGAAAGACACCAAAAACCCAGCTCCCCAGTTTTCTTTTATCTGTGAGCTTTCATTTAGGGTTGACCCAGGGGAGGAGAGAAGGTTTACCTAAATTGGGGCTTTTGTTTTTTATTTATTTATTTTTAATGTTTTAAAAATTTGTTTATTCTAATTGGGCATACATGACAGCATAATACTTTTTGATTCACTGTACACATTGCAGCACAATGTTTCATTTCTCTGGTTGTATATGATGTAGCATCATACACTATGTGTACACTATGGGCAGTCATACAGGTACATAGGGTAATAATGTCCATCACACTTCACCATCTTTCTGGCCCCCATGCTCCCTCTCCTCCTCTCCCTTTGCCTAATCACAGTTTCTCCATTTTTCCCATGACATCCCCATTATGGATTGGCATCCACTTATCAGAGTGAACATTCGGCCTGTGGTTTTCTGGGATTGGGTTACTTTGCTTAGCAAGGTATTCTCCAACTCCATCCACTTATGTGCAAATGACATAATTTTATTCTCTTTTAATGCTGAGTAGTATTTCATTGTGTATATGTACCACAGTTTCTCTATCCATTCATCTATTAAAAAGCATCTAGGTTGCTTCCAGGTTGATGTCTGCCCCCTAGACTCAAAAGGGGTCAATGGAATTAAGCTGCTGTAAGCATTGATGTGGCTGTGTTACTTATTATATGCTGATTTTAAGTCCTTTGGTATAGACCCTGAAGCGGGATAGCTGGGTCAAAGGTGGTTACATTCCAATTTTTCTAAGGAGTATCCATACTGCTTTCCAGATTGGTTGCACCAATTTGCAGTCCCACCAGCAATGTATGAGTGTGCCTTTCCCCCCACATCCTTGCCAACACTTATTGTTGTTTGTATTTTTGATAACTGCCATTCTGACTGGCATGAGATGAAATCTTAGATTAGTTTGGGGGGACTTTGTTTTTAAATGGGGCTTTGTTCATCTAAACTACTGAAATGATGCTACTTTTTTGACTAAATTGACTGAAAAATTGTTGCATGAAATAACCAGAAAAGTTATTGATTTTGCCCTACATTTCAACATAGGGCCACAAGAATCAAAGCAACACAGTGGGCCATGGGTGAGAACATGAATGAAGTTGGTATGGCTTGCACCCGAGGGAGTCCTAAACAACACACTTAAATGTGGAATAGGGATCTCCTGGTGGAACCAGTTGAAGACATGCACTATCCAAGGTGTAACTATAGGAAAGGGTAACTGAGACAAAGCAGAATTGCAGGTCTTTGAAAAATGAGATGAAAAATATGTGAAGCTAGGATATTTTAAGGGTTATTCATGAATGTGATAGTCATCCAGATGCTGATGGGATATAAAGTAGGGAAGATAATTATGTGTTAGGTGAAAATGTAATGTAAGATAGCTCCCAGTGCCTAAAAGATCAGAATATTGTAGTCAAATAAATGAGGAAAGAGGTATCCAAATTACACGATCCTTAAAGAAAAGGAATTTTATTTTTGTGTGATATAGGAAAGAAAGAAATAATGGGAAGCAAAGAAGACATGACATCAAAAGTATTCAGTTTCTGGAGTGATAGTGATATCTTTTGGAGATCAGCCATTAAAGCACCAAGGTGGGGAAACTCCCAAAAAAGAGTTTGAGAATTTTGATAACCATGAGAAATTTACTGACCCACAATAGCATAAAAGTGGTGAAAATTCATGGTTAAAAGGAAAGAGATGAAGGATCATTTGAATGAGACATAAAAATGAAGGATTAGGGAATACAGTTATGTCTGTCAAATATTTTCAGGTGTCACTTTAAATACTTTTTATTTTTACATTTCTATGTATGTAAAGATATATACATTATTAGCTCAAGCTGACATAACAAAATATCAAAGACTGGATGGCTTAATGAGCAAAAAATTATTTCTCACAGTACTAGAAATTGGTAGAAATTGGGAATACAAAATAAAGATCTGGCAGGGTTAGTGTCTGGTGAGCTCTCTCTCCTGGAGTTGCAGATAGACAACTTCTCACTTTATCTTTACATGGGGGGGGGGGAGAAAGAGAGAGAGAGAGAGAGAAATCTCTGCTGCCTCTTAAAAGGACCAGGCCAGGGCCGATCCTCTTGATCTCATCTAACTATAATTATTCTCAACAGGTCCCATGTCCAAATGATATCAAAGATATTAATTAAACAGGATCAAGACACAGTCATTTCATTAAAAAAATGTTATTACTTCTTGTTATGACCTCAAAGGGAGCTGTTCTCATAGTACATTTTCTATTTGAACAGAACTCAATCACAGGAGCAAAATATCGGTCAAAGAAGGATCACATGATGTGTAAACTTATGTGTTTGTCTATTGCTTACTCTTCTACCATTGGTGGATTGACAACAACTACTGGTACCTCCACAAACTTGATCTTCACTGAGCATTTCAACACGTGAGTAAAATTGTTAAATTGGTAATTTAACAAATAGACAACACACAAACTATAAAACCTATTCTCACCTGGTTCAGAGAATCCATGGACAGAGATGCTAAGCTGAATTAACTTGCCTTTTTTTCCTATCAGGACAGTCATAGGTCTAGAGATCTCCCTCTGGATTGGCAGTTAAATATGCAGGATCTGGGGAATTAAATTATGCCTGCAGATTCCTCAGGTCAGCTGAGAAGAAATAACTCTTGGCTGACCGCTCTGGTGGGTACATTTTTTCATGGCAAATAATTCTGCAAATGGTAATTAGCAAAAGTTTAAAAAAATCATTTGCATGGGACAATATATGTAGGCTCTGGGGACTGAACTTAAGTGATGAATGGTGAACAGAGGTAATGATTACAAAAGGGCTGGCTTTTGAAATAAAATATTTAGAAGATTGGGCAGTAAGAACCAATGAAACAATAGTTTGGAAGCCCATGCTTTTATAAAGGAGCCCAGATTGATTCTACAGCCAAGGTTTATTTTAAGTACTAAGAGGGTGTCGCGACCCCTTGCCCGCAAGGAAGATGCAACTCAGGAATCTTCTTTCAGCAGTTTATTCAGGCCCTTGATATTTCTTCTTCTCCTCTCGGATGCCCCTCCCAGCCTTAATAAAGCATCTCAAGCCCCAATGCGAAGCTTCCACGTGGAGCTTTCTCATAGGGTGGTGAAAAACCATGTGCCAACTCTCCCAAATAAGGAGTTGTTTGTCACAGACCACAGCGGAGCCAGCACCATCTTGTAATGGCGACCATAGTCTGCAGAAACGGCAGAAGCGGCTCACCACAAGAGGGCATACAATTGTCGAAGTTCTAAGAAAGTTAACAGCACTGAGGAAGTCCAGAAACAGGATTTAGTCTTTTCATGGAAAAAATAAGATTCAGAACCAAGAAAGCTGTACTCTAGGAAACAGAGCCAACAGACTCTACAAACTCTCTGAAATTATTTGCAATATGTTGTGCATACATATTTTCTCCAAAATGGCAAGACTCAAAGAATGCCAATCTGCATTCTATGAAAGATTATGTACAAAGAACAGAGGTAAAGAAGTTTAGATTCAGTATTGTCCATATCTCCATGTATACTAATTGTTTTATGACCATTCAACCACATTAGGAAGGAGTCTTTCAAAAGCATTTGGTTTATAAGTGGAAAACATGAAATTCACAGTATCAGAGAAGATATATTCAATATATACCCTAGACAGGAGGTGGACCTGATCCCTTCCTGAGATCTAAACTGATATCCTTGATCATGAATTCCCCAAGTAAAGAGATTTCACATCTTGACCCTCTCGGCAAAGTCTATTTTCTAACATTTAGACCAAATTCTAATTGTTTTATCCTTGTTGGAGTTAGAGAACTGAGGATTTAGACTATTTCTGCACAATGAATCAACCAACTTTTTCTCTCATCTTATTTTTCCTCTTAACTCTTTGAATGCATTAATCCATTTGCAGTAAAAGATTAAGAGCATTGCAGTATTTTGAACAAAATGTTTTGCTAACTATTTTTCCTAACTGTTGCAATTCGCCTAATCATAGAAAATTGACAAAAAATCCTTTAAATTTAGAAAATATTTAAAATATATTGTGAAATTTGGTGTTTTTTCTTCAAAATGTTATCTTTACCTTAGGAATTATGTGACAGTAATAACTAGGAGAAAGCTCAAAGAATTAGGAGAAAAATCAAAGTATCTCCTTTTGGTAGAAAATACCAGTATAGATGGGAAGTGAGAATAACCATATTGAAAAATGCAATTGATATGATTAAACAAACTTGGTATTTAATGAACATTTTCTTAAATGCTGACCTTACACAATACAACAGAATCCCAAAGTAACAATGGAACAGTGTGTACTCAATTTTGTTGGAAATGCTATAGAAGCTTAAAACTATCCCCCAAATTATATTATTTGTTCAGGTGTTTGGAGCTGGAGAAAAATTGCCTTTATTTACAAATGCACTCTGATAATGTCACCTTTTCCTTTTGACACTGCTTGCCATCTTTTGGAGCAAAACCAATTATCATTTTGTACACATGTGCAAAATACACATTTTTTTAATGAAAGAGGTGTATAAGGGTGATTAAAATCTTAGGCTCTGGGTTTAAAATGACTGGGTTCAAATCCCAGCTCTTCCACTCACCAGCTAGGTAACTTTGGACAAATTATGTAAGCTTTCTGAATTCACTATCTTTTCAGAAATAGCAGGAAAACAGTTTGATCTCCCCCCACCCCCCGCCCCACCACCACTCCCCCTGCTTTGAGTTTTATTCAAAATCAATAGCACTTCAAGCAGTGCTGGCACAGAGTGTGTACATGTGCTCAACAAATGCTGGTTATTATTATTACTAGTGTTGAGAACATTGAAATTCAGTTTAGCGTTTGAGGACCAAACCAAGGTCAGTCAGACTTCCAAAACTGCCTCCTTAAAATGTTATTTTTCCCCTAAGATACCTAAAATGTGTCATAAAAGAAGACTTCAGTTATGTACAATATCTTTGATTACTAGAAAAAAAATCTGTCCACACAGTTTGTAACAATCTTAAGACGGTTTGTAACAATTTTAAGTGGTGAATGTTCATAAAGAAAATGAGAGCAAATAATTCATAAAATCAAAGTACCAAACACCTGAAACAGTTGGTTTTTTTTTGTTTGTTTGTTTGTTTTTTTTGTAAAGGGTGAATAGTCTGTGTATGTTTTACACAGTTTGGTGTAGCAGTATTCAGATTGATTGGTATTCCAGGAGTCTGGAGATAGGAAACCAATTAGGAGTCTATTACCAAAGTACTGACAAATGATGAAAGGCTAGTTGTGAAGTGACAGGAAGATTTAGATTCAAGACACTGCATAATCACAAGGTCATTAGTCATTAAGAGTGAGTCCTTTAGAGGGAGGGAGGGCTAGATGTTTGTTTATATGACTGCCAGATAGAGAACTTCTAGAGAAATCACATAAACTTCTAGAGAAAAATGGGGAGAGTCAGTCTCGCTGGAGAAATTGATAAATTTAATCTGGACACACTGACATGGCATATCCACAAGGAGATTTTTAGCAGACATTTGTAAACACATTACTTGAGTTAGTTATAAATTGGGGGTATGGTAGTCAGTTTTTCACCACTGTGATTTAAGTATCTGACGAGAACAACTTAGAGGAAGAAAAGTTTATTTTATGGTCATGGTTTCAAAAGTTCAGTTCATGGTCAGCCAACCTATTCTGGGCCTGAGATGAGGCAGAACATCATGGCAGAAGGATGTGGTGAAGGAAAGCTTCTCAGCTCAAGGCAGCTAGCAAGCAGAGAGAGCAAGTTAGGCACCAGGGACAAAACAGAAACCTCAAAGGCATGCCCCCAGTGACCTACTTCCTTTAGCCACAACTTAACTGTTTATAGTTGACACAGAGTACAGTGTTCCTCTCAATTATTAATCCAGCAAATGGATTAATCCATCAGTTAGGTAACAGCTTTCATAATCTAATCATCTCACCTCTGAACAAGAGAAAGCAGAAATTTTAAATCCTATATAGACACCCTCACTGCTTGTCTCACACACAAATTTGGGAGGGGGGGCATATCATATTCAAAACATAACATTCCACCCCTGATCCCAAAAACTCATGTCCATCTCATGATGAAACATGCACTTATTCCGTCTCCAAAATTTCATCTGAGACTCTGGGTAAACTCTTCATTGTAAGCCTCTGTCAAAATAAAAAGTTACATAAAAATAAAACAAGTTACATACATCCAAAACCAAAATGGCACAGAATAAACATACCCATTCCAAAAGGGAGAAATAGGGGCATAGAAATCAAAACTAGAACCCAGATGGTCAAACAAGTCTTATAGCTCCATGTCTAGTATGTGTGTGTGGCACGTGGCCTTGAGATACAATTTCCAAAGGAATTGGACAGCCTTGACCTTATGGCCTTGTCGCTTATAGCCAACATAGCCTCTCTCTTAGACTGGTTCTGTCTGCAGCCAACTGCTTTCCTCAGCAGACATACCATGTTACTAGCATTTCTTAATCCAGGGTGTCTCCACTGCAGCTTTGGCTTCCTTCTTACAGCTTCATGAATCACCTGTGGGGATTTCAACCCTGCTACATTTTGCTTGGCTTCCCAGGCCTTCCCTTGAAATCTTATCTATAAAAACAAACATGAAATTCTTAGAATGGTCACATGGGGGTGGGTGAGTTAAAAGACTCCAGTCAGACTCTTAGGAAAAAACATTGATAAGAAAGAAGGTGAGAAAAGTTAATCATGTAGGAGGAGACTTAGGAGCATGCAGTGATTTGAAAGCAGAAAGGGGAGATCATTTTCAAAATGGAGAAAGAATTGGGGCCATTATGGTGATAGAGGAGAACTGAAAAAACTTTCAGTTCTCTCGGTTGTCCTCCACAGTGTGAGCAGGTTCAGTGGAATAGTAGGCAGTGGGTGTACAATTCAGATGAGCTGAAGAAGGAGTGAGTATGTAGTGGAGAGGAGAAGCCAACAAGTTAAGTGACTCTTTCAAGTGTGACAAAGAACAGAACATGAAGAGTATGACCAAAGGCAAAGTGTTCTTTTAGAACAAGGGTGGGAGGTCAGTTTGGGCTTACATTAGGGGAAGAAAACTAAAAATAGATACATAAAGTTTTGAAGGAAAAAGCAAAAAAACAGAACAAAGCATATTTGTCAGAATACAGAATCAGATGGGAACAGGTGGGAACTGAGTAGACTTAAAAACAAAGATGGAAATATTAGTCTTGGGAAAGAAGGATATTTTCTCCTTGGTGATAACAGGAAGAATGAGGAGAACAAGAGAAAGCAGAAATTTTAAATCCTATATAGACACCCTCACTCTACACATGAGGATGCTGAGGCTTATATTTTAAGTGATGGTTACAAGTCATCCAAGGGCCTGGGAGGTAGAGACACATGAAATGCCTCTTTTATTCCTTTTTTAAAAGTTGACACAAAA